TAACATTTTTAGATTAAAAGCCCTGTTGGTAGAAGGATTGGCTCCATGTTAAGATAATTCAGATAAATATTAGTTGCCACGGACAGCGTCTAACGGTCAGTATGAACTTCCGTAAGGACTCCGGCCCCTGGACCACACAGTCCACCCAGAGCAATTGCCGTCGTGGCGAGAGAGTACTGAAAACCTAAGAAGTAGCCTGCCTGTGAATAAAATGTTGAAATACTGAAGGGGCACCGGTCACTCAATTCCAGAAAGGCATGTATGTAATCTAGAGAGGGGCCCAAGCGTGACAGAGAATTACTGAAGGGACCAAGGTGCCTGCCAGGTGACTATCAGCTACAAAGACAAATACTCGCTTTGCGAAGAAGATCAACGCTGAGAAGTATTATCATCAAAGTCTACAAAACTAGGCCCTTAAAAAAATAACACAAACTTGTTCACCAAATCCCAGAACCTTACAAGGGAGCAACATGCAGAAGTTATGGCAATTAAAAAAAATTATTTTTTTAGATGTTTGTTTATTTTTTCGAGGGAGAGAAAGCATGAGCAGGGGAGGGGCAGAGAGGGAGACATAGAATCCGATGCGGGCTCCAGGCTCTCAGCTGTTAGCACAGGGCCCGACGCGGGCCTTGAACCTATGAACCAGGAGATCAACCTGAGCTGAAGTTGAACACTTGACCAACTGAGCCACCCAGGTGCCCCGAAAGTTATAGCAAATTTAAGAGCAAAAATAGGAAACTCACTGATGGCTATAAAATATGGAACTTGTCTCAATTGCATAAAATAATGTAAATCAGCAAATTAAACATTTTAGACTTGAAATCTTTTAAAAAATTTTTTAATAAAAGTTTTAAATGTTTTTATTTCTGAGAGAGAGCACGAGCGCGTGAGTGTGAGCAGGGGAGTGTCAGAGAGAGAGGGAGACACAGAATCTGAAGCAGGCTCCAGGCTCGGAGCTGTCTGCACAGAGCCCGACATGGGGCTCGAACCCACGAACTGCGAGATCATGACCTGCGCTGAAGTTGGATGCTTAACTGACTGAGCCACCCAGGCGCCCCTAGACTTGAAATCTTTAAAAATGTTGTATATAAAGCTTAGAACTTCCTAGCACTGTGTTTTCATTTCTCTGGAGTTTTTACTTTTCTTTTTTTTTGAAAAGATTTTAAGTAATTTCTATACCCAGCATGGGGCTTGAACTCACAACCCCAAGATCTGAGAGTCGCGTGCTCTCTTGAGCCAGCCAGTGTTCCTGCTTGTTTTCTTACTGACACAGGTGTTCCTTCCAGCCTCCCACTCAGGCGGCCTGTTCCTGGGGATTCCTCCTGTTTTCTGGCGCCTCCATCTGGCCGAGTTAGTCCCCTGGCCTGATGGACGGGGTCATCTGGGCACCTGTGTTTGCAGTGGTGCCTTGGAGCCGCTGTTTCGTGCTGCCCAGCGCAGGGCCCGGCTCTCTGTCCTCTGGAACTGCCTCAGGAAGTGTGTGGGAAGTAACCCCCTGAGTTCTGGTCTGAGAAAAAACTCTCATTGTCTCCGTTTACCGGTTTCCTCTCTGTTCAGTAGGATTTTCTTACGCTGCGGGGCTTTCCTCATTTGTCTGGCGGTCCTTGGTTGTCCAAGATAGTGACCATTTTAGGTGGCAGGTGCGTGGTGGCGTCTCCAAGCTGCCCCCCCCCCCCCCCCCCCCCCCCCCCCCCCCCCCCCCCCCCGCCGTAAGTCCCAGAAGCTCCCTGTTCTACGGTGTGGAGCCTGTTGGGAGCTTTTTAAGTGACTGTGAACATGGCTTGGCAGTGCATCAGACTGGTAATTCTGTCTAGCCAAGAGTGATAGGTTTTATAATCTCATTTAATTCGTGGTAGGAATAAGCTACTCACAAATCTTTTTACTTAGCCATTCCCGAAATAGGAATTTAGATAGTAATAAAGGAAAGCGGTACTTTGGAAAGTAAAGAGGGAATAATGAAAGAAAGGTTAGAAGTCAATTCGAGTATTTGTTGAATTTTTACTGTGTCCCATGTTTCTGGTGATGCAGAAGGGATTTATAAATAAGACACTGATCCTGCGCTCCAGGAAGTAGCTAGAGAAACTTAACCTTTCATATTTTCAAATATTTATTTGAGATAGAATAGGTAGCAACACACCTTACTACTTGTGTCCATCTGATCTTCATAACATTTTGCCAAACCGTCATTTAATCGGATGGTGTATTAAAAAACCAATGTTTGAGTTGCCATTGTTTAAGTGACATCTATCCAAAATTGAAGACCCGTGCCCAAGGGCTTCTTTAGGGCTGGATTCGTAGATTTCAAATGTAATCAACATTTTTGGGGACCATTTTGGGAAAGACCTTATGTAGAGCATTCAGAGGACACAGCGATTGTCGCCTCACATTGGGATGCATGTTCTCTCTCTCTCACATCTCATCTCATCTTCTCTCTCTCTGTCTCTCTCTCTCTGTCTCTCTCTCTCTCTCTGTCTCTCTCTCTCTCTCTCTCTCTCTCTCTGTCTCTCTCTCTCTCTCTCTCTCTCTCTCTCTCGCTGCAGTTATATCTTAACCTGGGTTGTTAACGCGAAATAGGTCCTTCCCCTAAAGTGATGTAGGCAGGAACTCTCCAGAGTTACTGATACCACATGGTGATGCCTTCAGGGGCTTCAGATGTTCTTTTGAGATACAGATACTTCTGGACTGGCCGCATAGTTCACGCCTTACAAATCGCAGCTACAGATAAGGCTGCCCCTACAGCTGGGAGAATGGAGTGGGGACGGGGAGCTTGGATAAAGGGGTATGATTATAAAAATAACCAGCCGTATTTACTAATCAATGCACCTACTTGAGGAAACCTCGGCCATCTAGTCCAGACTCTAATTAGATGAAAAAACGGAGACGTAAGAAGTTAAGCAGATCACATAAGGAGTTTAATGGCAGAATCAGCCCTGGGGCCCGGTCTCAGCAGGACTCCCTTGCTTGCATTTTAATGTGCTGTTGGGCCATCAGGGCATCTCCAAGGGCAGTAACACAGATGGAAGTGCCAGCGGAGGGTGATGGCGTTTGAGGAGGGGCGCTTGGCGCACTCAGCGCTTCTTCAGTGCTTCACAAGGTCTCATACGCTCAGGGAACTAGGCACTGAGTACTTTCTCCGACAAAGTGTTATGCTTGGTGCCATGAAGGGAGGAGGAGTGTGTCAAGAATCTATCTGTTTTCAAAGAACTCTTAGGCTGATTGGTGATTTCAGATAATTGGGAGATTGACTAACATGTTGGAAGTAGTACTTGGCGGCGTGGTCAGGAGAGTTTGAAACAGGAAATTGCAGTTGGCCTCGAACCAAGTGTATGAAGTTGTGTGTTAATATTATTCCATGAGAAATCACTCTTGTACCTCTTTCGTGTACCCAGCCTGAAGTTGGAGTTCCCTGCCTGTGACTTCTGCTCAGATTTGATGAGTGGATCGTGCTCCGTGAGCTCACATTCTCTACAACCCCAAGTGTCTATTCATTCGATTCTAAAGCTGGTCTTTAGTCCTTGCTGCTAGTATGAAGTAGGTTGATTTTGGTTTAATTTAGTTAATAGTATTGAGTATCTGCTATTGTGCAGGCATTGTGTTGGGGTAGAAGTAAGAACTATACACAGCCTAATGGCTTAAGCAAACGCATTACTTTTGGTACGTGTGGTACGTCTATTCAGGAAAGCAAGTGGAGGTACAGTGGTTGACAGGAGTGGGGGGGGTTTAGTGCTGTCTGGGTGAGGACAGAAAGGCTTTCTGCAGGAGATGGCAGCTAGGTTCGAAAGGACAAGTAAGCCCTTTCTGAATGCACAAGGAAGGGAGAGCCATTCTAGGAGGAGGAAACGTCCAGCATGACCCCACAGAATGTCGTATTAGGAACAGTGTGTTGTTGGAATATAAAATGGGGTGCTTGGGGAGGGGTCGTAGGGGGTAAGACGCTCCAGTTACCAATGCAGAGTGAGCCCAACGACCTTGGTGTTTCATTTTCTGGCCAGAGTTCTTAGATAGTCCACATCCGAAGTTAACTGAATAGATACTCCCCTCCCCCAGTGCTGTGGCGAGCAAACAAGAGAGAACCTTGAAGTTGGGGGATTAGTGAACTTAGGACGAAGCTTTGGGCTTGAAAGAAGTGTAATCATAGTAAAGTATTGAGAGTGTGGTACCCGATTTCCTAGTATGGTCACTTGGCACGAGATGTTCCAGATGGGTCTGTTGAAGCAATTATGCAACAGAGGCCATGCAGTAGTAGCATCTGCTCGAGCAGTAAACTTGGGTCTGTCACCCGGTTCCCAGAAGCCCAGCCGGCTGTAAGGTCATTGCGGGAGCCTGGTGCTCGGGACGATTCTGCTGGGCCAATTCCTGCACAGCCAACGGCTTTGACCCGGAGTGTCCTGTGTGCCTTTATGCCAGAGCACTTTGTCGATCTCCTCTCCTGTCATGACTTTATCCAGAACGTTGGGGGTCCCGGAGGTTGGGGCAGTAAGATATTTGTGTGTCTGAGTTACAATAGTTAATCACTCTCAGACTCTGTCATGTTTAACTCCAAGATGTGGCAGATTTCACATTGTTCCAGATTTTATATTTTTATTTAGATTCTGATCTCTATATATTGTTTTTAAAACTTTTAAATTTCATATGATTTTTTTTTAATTGCTGTCAGTTATCTATTTATCAATTTATTGTAAGCTCCCTGCCCAGTGTGGGACTTGAACTCATGACCTGAGATCAAGTTGCATGCTCCACTGACTGAGCCAGCCAGGTGCCCCTGTTCCGTATTTAAAAGTTTGTCTTCAGGCGTATCTGGGTGGCTCAGTCTGCTAAGCGTCAGACTTTGGCTCAGGTCATGATCTGCCAGTTCATGGGTTCGAGCCCCGCATCGTGCTCTGTGCTGACAGCTCAGAGCCTGGAGCCTGCTTTGGATTCGGTGTCTCCCTCTCTCTCTCTGCCCCTCCTCCCTCAAAAAAATTAAGAAACATTAAAAGTTTGTCTTTAATATTTCACAGGATTTCTTGATCATGGATGGTGAAGATATACCAAATTTTTCAAGTTTAAAGGAGGAAACTGCTTACTGGAAGGAACTTTCCTTGAAATATAAACAAAGGTAATATTGAAAAGCATCCTGAAAACAGGGGAAGGCATTTGGAATACCAGGGCCAGCATGTGCAGATATATGTATATTTGAACATAAAGCCAAATATAGAGTTTCAGGGTTAGGTTTGGGATTCTGGAAATAGTCATAGCATTGCTTGTATTTGAACAGTATAAAACTGCCATAAAATTTTATTACTCAAATTACTAAAATAGTAAGAAAACTTCCTGTGTGTGATTCCTTCTGGAAGCTGGCCTCCTCTTACATTTGGCCTGCTGTGCATGTGCTGATTCTGCCTTGTCCTTCGGTCTTCTGGACACTGTGATGCACTGTGCAGGGCCCCACACAGAGGCTAGGTCTCTTCAGGCAGGTGCGAGCAGTGTTTGGGGCCAGCAGAGCTTTGGACGGAGGGGAGAGCATTTCATAACATCTCAGTTATTTGGATTAGTTGGGGAAGCTTTTTACATAATATTACCTTTTAAGCACCAAATTTGTCTTAGATTTGTCTTTATTTTTTATTTCTTTTTATTTTTAGAGCAAGAGAGTGCAGGTGGGGGAGAGGGGCAGAGAGGGGGAGAGAGAGAGAGAGAGAGAGAGAGAGAGAGAATCTTAAGCAGGCTCCGTGCTCTGTGCGGTGGTCGATGCGGGGCTCGATCCCATTACCTTGGGATCATGACCTGAGCTGAAATCAGGAGTTGGATACACAACTGACTGAACCACCCAGGTGCCCCTCATTTCTTTTTAAAATGCACTTTAACACACACACACTCTTTTGAGCTTTGGTTTATAGAGCTTGTTAAGCCTTATCAAACCTTTTATTGCTGTTTTGTTGTTGTTGTTGAAGCCAGGTAGATTGTGCCGGTGAGCAGGGAATGGGTCTGTTTATGGCAGACGCTCTGAATCTATTTTGTGCCGCAGATGCCTTAATAGGCTGGGGAAACCTGTGCACCGCTTCCCAGAATGATGTGTTTTTGTTTGTGTGTTTGTTTTGCTTTAAATATTTATTTTGAGAGCGAAGGAGAGAGGGCATCCCAAGCAGGCTCCATGCTGTCAGCACAGAGCCTGACGCAGGGCTCAGTCCCAGGAACCACGAGATCACGACCTGAGCTGAACTCAGGAGCCGGGTGCTTAACTGAGCCACCCAGGCGCCCCAGAATGATGTTTTTCAATGGATAAGATTAAATAATAGAATTATGAAGGAAGCCAATTGTATTGCAAAACGCTGATAGTACTTTGTGGCCCAGTAACTTGAGTTTCTTTTTTTTTTTTTTAAATTTTTATTTATTTCTAGGAGAGAGAGAGAGACAGCGCGAGCAGGGGAGGGTCAGAGAGAGAGGGAGTCACAGACTGAAACAGGCTCCAGGCTCTGAGCTGGCAGTCAGCACAGAGCCCGACACGGGGCCCGAACCCACGAACCGTGAGATCATGACCTAAGCGAAAGTCGGACGCTTACCCGACTAAGCCACCCAGGCGCCCCAATTTGAGTTTCTTTATTAATTTCTTAGATAAGAAAGATCTAGGGGCCGGCCACCTGGGGGCTCAGTCGGTTAAACAGCTGACTGGCTCAGGTCATGATCTCGTGGTTCATGAGTTTGAGCCCCGTGTCGGGCTTTCTGCTGTCATGTAGAGCCCGCTTTGGATCCTCCGTTCCCCAATCTCTCCCTCCCAAGCTCATGCTCGCTCGCTCTCAGAAATAAATAAAACATTTATTTTATTTTATTAAAAATTAAAAAAATGTTTTATTTATTTCTGAGAGAGAGAGACAGTGTGAGCAGGGGAGGTACAGAGAGAGAGGGAGATACAAAATCTGAAACAGGCTCCAGGCTCCAAGCTGTCAGCACAGAGCCCGACGCGGGGCCCGAACCCATGAACTGTGAGATCGTGACCTGAGCCGAAGTCGGATACTTAACCGACTGAGCCCCCCAGGCTCCCCTCAACAATAAATAAACAAACAGAAGATCTAGGGGTGGGTGTGTAAAACGTGAGTCCTTTTGGGCCCTTTTAAGTCACTTTCACTGGCCCCCGAGTCTAGAACCTGCCACATGAGACAGGTTGTCCCCGCTGTGTGGGGCGGGTCCGGGCAGGGTCATTGGACGGCCTGGGGCTGCCTTCTCGGGGCCGTGGGGCTGCTCCTGTCACCTCCTGTCCCGCTCTGTCCGCGGCAGCTTCCAGGAGGCTCGGGATGAGCTAGTTGAGTTCCAGGAAGGCAGCCGGGAACTGGAAGCCGAGCTGGAGGCGCAGCTGGTGCAGGCGGAGCAGAGGAACCGGGACCTGCAGGCGGACAACCAGAGACTGAAGTATGAAGTGGAGGCTCTCAAGGTAACCTCGGTGGTGGGCGCTGCGGCCCAGCGCTGCCTTCTGTTCACGTGAGAAGTGCGGTGTCGTGGGGGAACTGAAGAGCAGCAGGCAGGGAAGAAAAAAAAGACTTCAAGTGGGTTTTTGGAATACACTTTTCTTTCGTGGAACCGAGGGGAAGGGGCTTGGGAGCTTAGGCGCTCACTTGCAGACCCTGCGGCTGTCCCGGCTTGAGCGGTCACGTTCTCTTAGTACGTGGTCATCCCTGTCGGTTTCCAGAGCTGCCTGGGTTGCCCGAGACTGCCCCCCTCGGCGGCCCTGTAAACGTATTTCATATGAAATCTGTGTCTATTCCTTTATTGTTAGTCACCTCTTTAGTTTTGAGGTTCAGCTGGGGTTAAAATCCCCTTTAAAAAGGGATTTCTAGGAGTTAAAGGATTAACCCCCCCTTGTTGCTGTCCATCAGCTGCCTTAGCCAAGTGCTTGAGGGTTTCCGAACCTGGGGGTTGGGGGTTGGGATTACTGTGTGGGGAGGGTGGGGATGGTGGGTGAGAGCTGGGGTAGTGGGGCTCTGGGTGGTGGTCCCTGCTCCGTGCTCACCCGGGCTGCGTTTAGCCTGAGGACCTGGAATTCACCCCCCTCCCTGGGGGCGGGGCTGAGGCATTGGTTTCCCTATTTTACTTCTTTTCAGAAAGATCATTATTAGATTTCTTTCTTTCTTTTTTTTTTTTTTTTACATATTGTGTGTGTGTGTGTGTGTATGTTTTAATGTTTTATTTATTTCTGAGAGAGAGACAGCATGAGCAGGGGAGGGTCAGAGAGAGAAGGAGACATAGAATTCGAAATAAGCTCCAGGCTCCGAGCTGTCAGCACAGAGCCCGACGCAGGGCTCGAACCCATGAACCGTGAGATCATGACCTGAGCTGGAGTCGGACATTTCACGGACTGAGCCCCCTAGGCGCCCCTGTTAGATTTCTTTCTGAGAGGAGAATGGCTGACTCTCTAAATTTACGAGTTGAGGTGCTTGGAATGAATGCGTCCTTTTTTTTTTTTTTAAAATATTGTGAGGAGGAGAGGGGTACCATCACCCCAGATTGTGGGCGAATTCCTGGGATCCCTGCACCCCATAGCTTGGGTTCCTTCCTTTACTAAGGAAGACTCCGTGTTAATAGCACACACTTTGCTTCCTGCACCCGCGCCTTCAGGAGAAGCTCGAGCACCAGTACGCACAGAGCTACAAGCAAGTGTCACTGCTGGAAGATGACTTAAGTCAGACTCGGGCCATTAAGGAGCAGTTGCATAAGTACGTGAGGGAGCTGGAGCAGGCCAACGACGACCTGGAGCGAGCGAAAAGGTGAGTGGCTGCCGTGCGCTCGTGTACAGCGAACAGACACGGGGCCGGTGCTGGGGCTCTGTCCACACGCAGTGCGGCCCGTCACCCAGATCTTGGGCCCAGATCATGGCCGCCTGGCAGTTCACATCGCCTGTAACCGCCACGCCGACTGGTGCGAATCCTTGTCTCTCCAGATTGTCCTGCGTTTTTTTGTTTTTAACCACGTCTCCTTTGTTCCTCGGTCTTTCCCTCTGTGCGCTCAGTCCTGCCACACTCTTTGCAGGCCCCACAGCTTCTGCCCGAATTCTTTGCTCCTCCTCATTTTCTTCAGTTGAAATACTGACCGATGGATTTTCTCAGAATACCGCTTTCGCCACGATCTCCCGCACAGCCCGGAGCGGCTCGCTGTTACCGCTGCTGCGCTTTTCTCTAATCTACCATTAAGTTGTTCTGAGCCCTTCCAAGCTCAGTTCCTGTTACTTGACAATCACTGTCTGGTAGTTCTTTCCTTATAGTCCGAGGGACTCTTACATGCTTGGCTTGATGCTAGAGCCGAGGGCACAGAGGTAAGCTGGCTGCTGCCCTTGGCTGGGACAGATGTGGACCTTTCACACAGTCAGTATGAGTGAAGAGAGTGTCCAAGCGGCTGCAGCGCACAGCGGAGGGAGCCGCTGAGTTTGCCCGGGGAGCTGGGGCAGCCTTTGCTGGTGTCCAAGCTGGAGTCTGCAAGGAGGGAGGAGGCTCAGGACATGGGCATGTCTCACTTTGATGGATGCGGTGGAGACTGTGTGGCCGCACAGCGGGAGATGGAAGGTGGGCGGGGCCAGATTGGGAAGAAACTTGTGTGCTGTAGAGACAATGAGGACCTCGTTAAGAATTAAAAAAAAAAAATTTTTTTTTAATGTTTTATTTATTTCTGAGAGAGAGAGAGCATGAGCAGGGGAGGGTCAGAGAGAGAGGGAGACACAGAATCTGAAACAGGCTCCAGGCTCTGAGCTGTCAGCACAGACCCTGACGCGGGGCTCGAACCCACAAACCGTGAGATCATGACCTGAACCGAAGCTGGACGCTTAACTCACTGAGCCACCCAGGCGCCCCTTAATAAGAATTTTTTAAACAAAGGAGGGACATCAGATTTTGATACGAGGGTAACATTGAGGAACTGGAAGTAGGGAGGAGGACCCTCTAGGAGTGATCCAGGTGATGGGTGAAGAATTAAGCCAGGAGCCGAAGGCTGGGGGAGAGCAAGTGGAATTGAGAGACGTTTTGACAGTTGCTAGGATTTGATCAAATTGGCCACAGGCATTAGGAGTTCTAACGTGAGGCTGGGGAATTTTACTTCTGCAGCAGGCAGCACATAGTGGGCAGGGGGCACGTAGTAGGTTCATGTTAATGTTTGGTGAATAAATGAACACGATGAGAAATGCAGGAGGAAGAGTCAATGGAGCGGGACCTGGGACTTTGTGTTTTAAACAAATTTTTAATTCGTGTACTTTCAAATTGTTGGACCGTTTTCTTCTTGAAAGCATGTCAACCTGACTGTTGTGTGTTTACAATCCAGTGGAGAGGATAATGTGTAATAGGTGGCCTCCCTTTAAGGAACCGTAAGGAATTTCGGTGGGAATTTAAGAGAATATATTGAATGGCCCAGACTAGAAGCAGAGATACCAAGTGCCACCAGAGGTCAGAAGGGGCTGAGATCATCCCTCACCCGGGCCAGGCTTTCTAGGTCAGGAAGTGGCATGAGCTAAACGGACCGTTTCCTTTTGTATTAGCTGTTTGCACGCTATTTATTTAATTCATGGACTCCATTTTTTTTTTTTTTTTTTTAGAGCAACAATAGTGTCACTGGAAGACTTTGAACAAAGGCTAAATCAGGCCATTGAACGAAATGCATTTTTAGAAAGTGAACTTGATGAAAAGGAATCTTTGTTAGTCTCTGTACAGCGGTTAAAGGATGAAGCAAGAGGTAAACGTACAGCTTGAAGAACACTCTCTCCTTCCCTGTCCCTAAGCCCGGGTGTAAGGAGCCCCATGAGCAACGCTGAAGGCTGGATGCATGAGTATCCTTTCGTCAGACACCGCGCTCTGTGCTTTTAGTCTCTCAGTACCGACATCGTCAGCTCAAAGAAGTAGGCAGTATTATCCCTACCTTTCAGTTCAGAAAACTGAGGCATAGAGCATTGGAGTTTTGTCCAGGGTCTTAGAGCTTTTCAGTTGGGATTCAAACCCCTGTCTGGTTTCCAAAACCTTAACCGCCACCACTGTGCGTGTCCTGCTTGGTTGGCTTGGGTTGTTACGCACATAACAACACTGCGCCTGTGCACATCTTGTAAAGAGCCTTTTTTTTTTTTTTTTTTTTAAATTTCTGAGAGAGAGAGAGCGTGAGCAGGGGAGGGTCAGAGAGAGTGGGAGACACAGAATCGGAAGCAGCTCCAGGCTCTGAGCTGTCAGCACAGAGCCCGATGCAGGGCTTGAACCCACGAATCGTGAGGTCATGTCCTGAGCTGAAGTCGGACACTTAACCAACTGAGCCCCCTGGGCGCCCTGAGACTCTTTTCTTAATAATCTGCGTTCTGCCATGTATTAAACAAAAGAGGGAGGGAGGGGGAATTTTAAAAGGAAAGGGTGTATTCCCTGTGTGCACAGTGTGTACAGCAGCGGACGTCCCAGTCCCCGGCGGCGCCATTCGTCCCTCTGTGTCTGTGAACCTGACCTCTCTGGTGACGTCCCCGGATCACACGGTGTCCATCCTCCTGTGACTGGCGTGGTTTCGCTCTGCGTGGTGTCCTCGAGGCACATCCCCGCAGTAGCACGTGTCAGAATTTCTTCCTCCTTAAGTCTGAATAAGATCGCATTATGGGCATGGACTACCTTCTCTTTATGCATTTACCCCTGGGTAGACATTTGGGTGTGTGCCCGGAGTGGGATAGCTTTGTGTCCTTTTTTTTTTTTTTTTTTAACCGTAAGCGTTAGGTCAGTTGCACAACTGGGGAATAAAATGTTAACTTTGGCTTAAAAACTCTAGATTTGAAAGCAAAAAAAATTGCGACTGTTTTGACTACTTCCTTTCTACAACAGAATACTGTATTTTGAAAATTAATAAGAAATACCAACACCTTTAAAATTCTAAAAATGTACTTTGTTGATTTTGCAGTAATCCCCAAAGAGCATTGTTTCAGGATGAAAGCAAAATGAGTTGAAAAGAGTATTTATTTCTGTGCCCTGTAGGTTTGTGTGAGTTTTGGTTCGGCCTCCGTCCTGTTTCTTTCTGCCTGTGAGCAGAGTTCACTGCCCTCTCTCAGGTTACAGCATTTGTGTCGGTCTAGCGGGTTTTCTTTTCTGTTTAAAAAAAATTTTTTTTTAATGTTTCTTATTTTTGAGAGAGAGAGAGAGACAGCATGAGCAGGGGAAGGTCACAGAAAGAGAGAGAGATACAGAATCCGAAACAGGCTCCAAGCTGTCAGCCCAGAGCCCAACGCGGGGCTCGAACCCACGAACCATGAGATCATGACCTGAGCCAAAGTCGGACACTCAACTGACTGAGCCCCCCAGGCGCCCCAGAATGTTTTAGTTCTAAAAGGTCATTTAGGCGGTAGGGTGGTGGGGCGCCTGGGGGGCTCAGTTGGTTAAGCGTCCGACTTCGGCTCAGGTCATGATCTCACGGTTCGTGGGTTCGAGCCCCGCGTCGGGCTCTGTGCTGACAGCTTGGAGCCTGGAGCCTGCTTTGGATTCTGTGTCTCCCTCTCTCTGTGACCCTGTTCATGCTGTCTCTCTCTCTCTCAGAAATAAATAAATAACATTAAAAGAAAATTTAGATGGCAGGGTGGTCATTCTTATACCCCGAGACATAAAAAGTATTAAATAGGAAACTCACTTTTGAGCACTAGTGATTTAGGAAGACTGTCTTTGTGGCATTTCAGACATGACTTTGCTGGGCGTGTGCGCTTCCTGGAGTGAGTGCTCTTACCTGGGTGTCATTTTGCAGATTTAAGGCAAGAGCTGGCAGTTCGGGAGAGACAGCAGGAAGTCACCCGGAAGTCAGCGCCCAGCTCCCCCACCCTGGACTGTGAGAAGATGGACTCTGCTGTGCAGGCATCGCTCTCCTTGCCGGCCACGCCTGTTGGCAAAGGAACGGAAAACACTTTTCCTTCACCCAAAGGTTTGTGCTGTCCCGGCTTTCTGAGCCCGTGGTACATTAGCGCCCAAGGGGGCTCTGTCCCGGTGTGCGGTGACTGCAGATTAGAAGCTGGTGGAACCCGGCAGCCGTGGAGCGGAGGAAGGGGCTGGCATCCTGGGCGGCTCCTGGTGGGGCCCACAGCGGTGGTGCCTGCGGGTCCGCCGAGGGCAGCTTAGTATGTTGAGGTTTTAAGAGGTTGCAGGTTTTTCAATGCAGTGTTGAATACAGGTTCATGTTGAAAAATTGGAAGGAAAAAAAAACGACCCATCTGCAGCCTAACCACGTAAAGGTGGCTTCTGTTAGCGCGGAATTTTTTTTTTCCGCCGAGTGTGTGTGTTTGCCTGTGCACGCCGCCTCGTCCTGTGCAGGCTCGGGGACCGTGTTCAAATATGGTTTCAGTTTTTGTGCCGCTTAACATATCACCAAAGACTGGAGGCCTTTATATGCAGCGTGGAGAGAGCCTCCCTCAGTTACCATGTGGCTCAGGTGCGCGTGGCCTGTCCCATGCCTCGGTGGCTGCCATTTTCAGAGGTGACATTTGGAGTAACCCAGGTGGGGGTGGAGTGGGCATCACGGTGGGGGTGGAGCAGGCAGGGTGCAGGCGGAGCGGGCATCAGGGTGTGTGGGTGGAGCGGGCATCGGTGCAGGCGGAGCGGGCATCAGGGTGGGGGTGGAGCGGGCATCGGTGCAGGCGGAGCGGGCATCAGGGTGGGAGTGGGGGTGGAGTGGGCGTCAGGAACTCGCGCTGTCCATTTTGGAGAATGGCTGCTTGAGTATGAGGATCCCAACATTGGAAAACGAACAAAAGTTTGCTTCTCGGTACTGATAGAACTGTGCGGCCAAGTTGTGAAAATTCTTCAGTTGAGCCCTAGTCAGAAGGTCAGGGGCTTCAGTGTAGGTGAGACCCAGACAGGCGCACGTGCGGTCATAGCTCACTGAGTTTTCGGTCAGGGACTTGGCTGCGGTGAGCGGGGCGAGGTCAGTGGGACACAGAGCCTGCCTGCCCTGGCAGAGGATTAAGATCTGTCACCGCCAAGGCAGTGCTATTTGTCCGAGTCATCTGGGCATTTTCAGACTGTGACTGAGAGTGTGCACTTTCACCAGCCTGAAAGCTGCCACGAGCCAGATCGCTGCGCTTGCGTGACTGATAAGTCCGCGCAGACCCAGCGAGAAGCCGGAGATGAGAGAAATCCATGCAAGGTTGAAGGGCTGTTCTCTAAGAAGTGGTCTGTCTTTAATTGCATTTTATTGATAGCTGTGCCTGTTTCCCAAAAGCATCTAAGACATCTTCCCATAAAGGCACAGATTTAATAATTTGAGGACAATAGGGAAAAACGAGATCTGGAAATCTCTGCCGAGTAAAGTACAGTTTATTGGTGTCCTGGTGAGCATGTGTTCTGAGCTATGTGTTATTCTAGATGCCAGGCGTCTGGTGGTGAATGGGACCGAGTCCCTGCCTTCAGCTAGATTGTGTTCTGGAGGACAAGGACATTGAGCAGCTGCAGCAACAAAGCATTTACATGCTGATTAGCGCTCCGTAAAAACAGCATAGAGAATAACAGCTAACATTTATTGAGTGCTTCTTATGGGCTAGGTGTTTCAAAAGTGTATTCACTAATTTAAACTTCACAACAATTTCGAAGTGCTAGCCCTCTTCTACACGCGGGCAGCTTCCTAAAGCTCACACAGTTACTAGGTGGCAGAGAGGGGTTTGTATCTAGCAGGTAAGCCCAAGAGCTCTTAACCGTGGTAGGTATTATCTCAAAAATAAATGGAAGAAATGTGCATGGCTGAAAACCTTTGCTGAGGGGTGTGCAAGAGGGTGTACATAAATATCACACAGAGTAACCCCCATTCTGCGTGGGGAGGCTGTTGGAACATCCGTTGTCCCCAAATCGATCAGTAATTTAAATTGCTAATGAAAATCCTAAGGGGGGTCTTTTAAGTTGGCAAGGTGATTTTAAAGTTACTCTGGAAGAGGGAGTGTGTCAAGAAAAGGTTGAAATAGGTTAATAAGAACAGGCTTTTCCCTTCAAGACAGCAGAGTATGTTTTAAGGCTGTAATAACAAAAGCGGACTATTTCTGGTGGAATAGTCTAATAATTTAATGGAGCTAAAACGTGTAGGGAATTCAGTATATGAAAAGTGCCATTTCAGGTGAGCCGGGTTTCACAGGGTGATATTAGGACAGTTGCTATCCATTTGAAAAAAGCTTAAGAGATTTGCTGGATTAAATGATCTAAATGTTAAAAAAAAAAAAAAAATCAGGAAAACCTAAGGAGAGGAACAGTTTTATGCTGCCGAGGTGAAGAAGCCCAGGCTCCCGCCACCAAAACAAAAGGTTTGGAAGACAAAGGTCACGCTGAGAAGTACAGACTCAGAAGGCGAGGGCGGATGTCTGCCTGGCGAGGGCAGATGACCCAGTGGGTAAAGTGCGGAGGATAGAAGATGCTTTCCAGAAGAAGAGATTCAAATATCTAGTCAGTAAGGAAACAGAAATAAAGCAAAATGACCATCAAACTGGCAAAAGAGGAAAAAGATAACGTGTCGTGTCCCCGTGGAGCTGCCACACAGATTGCTGACCTTGGCACCACCTTTTCAGAGGGCGTTTTTGGCAGCGTCTCCGAAGGTGGACGACATGGGCGTATGTGTGACCCAGCAGTTCTATTTTTAGGACTCGCTTCTCAGAAACCCTTGCCTGGATGCGTGAAGGACATATGCCGTCTTAGCATCGCTTGTAACGTAGGACGAGCCGTAGTCCAAGTGCCGGTCCGTTGAAGGACACAGTTCAGCATCTTGGCGGTGTCTCCACTTGGCACTTCGGCTCCGAGGTTTGGGATTCTGTATTGGTTTCGTTGAGCGGATTCTGCTTCGTAATGTCAGCGACAGGACCCGCCGGCCACGAAGTGTAGGGGGACCGCCGGTGTAACCGCTCCTCTCTTCTTTTTCCGCAGCCATACCAAACGGGTTCGGTACCAGTCCGCTGACTCCTTCCGCTAGGATATCGGCACTGAACATCGTGGGGGACCTCTTGCGGAAAGTCGGGGTAAGCACTGCGTCACCCGCCCCCACGCATTTCAGCTGCCACGGTGTCAGGTGCTTAATTCGGAGGGAGGGGAAGACCTTCCAGCGCTGAAGGCTGTGGCTAAGCAGAGGCGGAAGCTTCCGGTGCCGAGCCGAGCCCGCTCCGGTGACCGGCGTCGGGGCTCGGGCGTGCTGGGGCTGCTGCGCGCGGCCCGGCGGGGCTCTCCACCTCCCCGGGGCTGCTTCCCCACCGGGGCTCCTCCGTCTTCCGTCTTCTACACTGCTTGCTCTAGGGCCTGCGGTGTGTTCTGCATTCCCCCCCCCTACCCCCCCGCAGCCTGTTCCTGCCGTGTGGCCCGGCCACCCGCTCAGCCGCCTCTCCGTGGGAACTAGCCCCGGCGCGCGGCAGGCCTTCCCGCTCTTAGTCACGGGCGTCTCAGCGCTCCTGGCCACCTCGGCCTCTGTGCGGTCCCCTTGGCTCTGACCTTCCAGGACGGCCGGGCTTTCAATGTTAAACTCGTTTTCTGCTGATTCAGTTCTTTGCCTTGGGGAGAAGCCGCGCCCTGACCTCACCGGTGGCGGGACTCTCGCTGTTCAGCCGTCTCTCGCTTTCGTTTCTTCCGCTCGCCCCGGGCCCCCAGATGGCCTCCCCGTCGCCGCCGACTCACGGTCCTCACGGTCGTCTTGGCCGCAGAGGGAACGTGCAGTCCATCAGTGTGGCGGCGGCACGTCCCCTTCCCTGGATCCGGATCTCAGGCGGTGGCATAAGTGTGTGGATTTTCGCCGCTGTGAACGCCGCACCTCCTGCCTTGGTTCCCTTTCCTGTTTCTTGGCGACTTGTCTCCTCAGTGAGGTACCCCCGGGACTGTCCGCTGCCCCTCCACTCACTTATTTGCGACAGACATTGTCTGAAAAAAGCAGAAATTGCGTTATGTGTCACATAACGAAGAAATGGGAGGCCAGGGCACAGGGTCCTGGGTTTGCCTTCTCTGGCTGACAAAATAATTTTCTGACCATCAGAGTGACTCTAACTCTGCATTTCAACCTCGTATGAAAAGCAATAAAAATCGTTTTTTACCGTACGTAATGTTCCCTCCTCACAGAGCCGTATTTAAAATCCCGCTTGTCATAAGGATTGTGGCACTTAGCTCCCTAACTCAGTGTGCTTATGTTTTGGTGTCTTCTCAGTTTTAAGCAAAAAGATGAGGAATTTAACTCACATCCCCCAAGTTTTTAAGTTTTTGTTCTCTTGGTTATTTTTGTGACTTTACACGTCACGCTTAAACCTCTGTTCCCTGCGTGGCTTATCGGTTCCGCTGACGGCCCACCCGTAACTTTGGTCTGCGGCCATTTGCCGGCCTTGCGTGCTCTGGGAATGTTTCATTTTCCACTTGTTGCCCCGCTTTGTCCGTCGACTTGATCTGGAAGCCCCTCCCCAGCCCTGCGTCCTCTGCCAGCGCGCGAGACCCAGGCCATGTGATCCTGCGTCTTTGGTGTCCCCTTCCTTCCTTCCGCCCCTTACTGCCTCTGTAGCCACCTCTCCCGTGTTATCTCCGTGGCCAGAGCATCGTGTTCTGCCCACGGCTGGTTTTGTCCCTCTGTGCCCGGGGTCCCAGCCCTCTCGTTGGGGTGTCCTGCATTTTCAGCCTCTCACTGTATTGTAGTCTTTGTGTGAAACCTGTACGGGTTACACGTTATGTGTTCTGCACGTACTTTATATGTGGTATTTGTCTATTACAAATCCTACGATCTTTAATGCAGGTAAAAGCATCCATTCTTTCCTTTACCCTGTATGTCTCTTTAGCTGTCAGCCTCCTTCTCCCTTCCCTCACAGCCCAGCTTTCTGAAAGCGTGTCTTCATTTATTGTTAGCATTTTTGACCAGGTTCACACTCCCCAGGCAGCGTAGTCGGCTCTGTCCCTGCTCACTCCTCTAGAACCGCTTGTGGCCGATCTCACCACCGCCAAACCCAGTGGACGCTCTTTGTTCTGTCCTAATTCTACTTGAAACGTTCAATACCGACTTTTTAAACTTTTTATTTATTTTTTATTTTATTTATTTTTTTAAAATGTTTTATTTATTTCTAGGAGAGAGACAGCGTGAGCAGGGGAGGGTCAGAGAGAGAGGGAGTCACACACACTGTAACAGGCTCCAGGCTCTGAGCTGGCAGTCAGCACAGAGCCCGACGCGGGGCTCGAACCCACGAACTGTGAGATCATGACGTAAGCAAAAGTCGGATGTTTAACCGACTAAGCTACCCAGGCTCCCCAACGCTGACTTTTTTTAAATGCGTTTTAAAAAAAAAAAAAATTAGAGAGCGAGCAAGCAGGTGAGAAGGAGAGAGAATGAATCTCAAGCAGGCTCCATGCTCTGCGGGAGCCTGGCGCGGGGCTCCATCTCACTAGTGGGATCATGATCTGAGCCGAAATCAGGAGTCATCTCTAGGCGCCTGGGTGGCTCAGTCTGTTGTGTCTGACTCCAGCTCAGGTCAAGATCTCGCGGTTCATGAGTTTGAGCCTCACACTGGGCTCTGTGCTAATGGCTCGGAGCCTGGAGCTGCTTCCACTTCTGTCTCCCTCTCTCTCTGCCCCTCCCTCGCGTATGCTCTGTCTCTCCCTGTAATAAATAAAAAATAACATAAAAAACAGGTGGCTTAGCTGACTGAAATAGCCAGGCTCTCCCTCCTTTTTCCTAGAGAGAGAGAGAGAGAGAGAGCGAGCAAGCGTATGTGCACGTGATGCCTTCTTCGCTTCTCTGATGCTCTGTCAGGTCTGCTTCCTGCCATTCCTCTTTGGCATCTTGGTGCGTCTCGTGCCCGCCCTTTCAGTGTTGATTTTATTCAGAGTTCTGTCCTTGAGTTCTTCATCTTCTCATTCACGGCCATGACTTTGTCTCCTTCCTGGCGTGAATACGTTCTAAGTCTTCGTTTCTAGACCACTCTTCCCGAGTGCCAGACCCCGCACCGCGCTCGCAGGTCTGTCCCACTGATCGCTGGCACAGCTCCTGCTGTAGGACAGCGTCCCCTCAGCAAGTATTTGAATGAGTGTTTAAAAAAATTTTTTTTTACATTTATTTTTGAGAGACAGAGGGAGGCAGAGCACAAGTGGGGGAGGGGCAGAGAGAGAGGGAGACACAGAATCTGAAACAGGCACCAGGCTCCGAGCTGTCAACACAGAGCCCGACGCGGAGCTCGAACCCATGAACTATAGAGATCATGACCTGAGCCGAAGTCGGATGCTCAACCGACTGAGCCACCCAGGCGCCCCTGAATGACTGTCTTGAATGTAGTAAATCAGTGGCTCTTTAAGAATCCACCCACCACTCAGAAAGGAACCTGGCATCTGTCTCTGTTCATGCCACCTGGTTCTTAGTGTGAGATGAGGATTACAGCTGTGTTCCTTAGTAACACTGAGGGCAGTAACCTGTTCTGAGCTCATAAGGTAGGAGTCCGCGTAAACATTCCCTCTTTCTGCTAGTGAGGCAATTGACTGTGGCGTGAATGGCTACCGTTGTGCACTGAGAGAATATAATTTTAGTCTTGAAATAGAACTGTTTTAAAATGCAGGTTTTTATGTACAGCTACTGTTCTGACAACCACATCATTCCTTCTTCTTTCCGCAGGCTTTAGAATCCAAGTTAGCAGCTTGCAGGAATTTTGCCAAGGACCAAGCCTCACGAAAATCCTACATTTCAGGGAACGTTAACTGTGGGGTGATGAATAGCAACGGCACAAAGTTCTCTCGGGCAGGACATACGTCATTCTTTGACAAAGGGTAAGTCTTGGACCTTTTACATGACACTGTTTGGAGGAGTAACGTTGCACATTACCAAGTGAGCTTCTCGAACTTTGAAGAGGAAAACTCCGTTTGAGAAACCTACCCGAGGCGGTGTCACCCCCTCCTGAGGGGACACGGAGCCTGTTGTTGTCCTCTGGTCCCCGTGGGGCCCGTTGCCCGGAGCTCTGACGCTTCCGTCCCGGGAGGCAGGCTGTGAGGTCGCCGTGCTGGGCTCGGGGGTGGGTGGGGGGGTGGGCGGGGGGGGTGTGACGGTGGCCGTGGCGCCACTGCCGTCAAGGTGCTTCCAGGCTGGGAGGTTCTCGGCCGGTGTGCGGCGGGGGCAGAAGGGAACCCCGTGAGCTTGTACGTGCAGACTCCGCGTTTTAGAAAAGTGTGACCCCCGCTGGGCAAATACGTCATGTATGATGTGAAGATGGTTTTGGGGGATTGAGAATTAAGAAACAAGTTGGCGTTAAGATTGAAGCGGTGCTACCTCCTCGACGCAGAGAGTTTGAGTCGGCGCAGAGGTTTATGAAGTAAAGAGGAAATGTTTCCTGTTTCTACCCCGTGTTTGTATCCTTGCGCTTCTTCCTTGGCCCGTAAAATGGTATTGTTATGCTGCACGCTGTGGGGTCTGGGGGCTGCTCTGTGCCCCACACGGCTCGGTGGCCCGGGTCTTTCCGCGTCCGCACGTCTCCCTGTACCTCGAGTGAAGGTCATAGTTTGTGCCCTGATTCAGCCCCTGGCCCGTCAGGACTGTGGTCTGGGTGGCCGACCGTGTGACCTTGCGTAGCCGGCCCCGGAGCAGCGGCCGAGGCCCCGTGAGCCCTGGCTTCTGCCTCGGTTTTGAGTCATAGAGGCAGTTCTCGTTTTATGAAAATGATAGGGATGCAAGTCTAGAGATTTTCAGCTTTTTTTCTTTTTTTTGAGAAAATGAGAGATGGAGGGGGGAGGAAGAATCCCAAGCAGGCTCCGTCCGTGTTCAGCACAGAGCCTAATGCCGGGCTTGATTCCACGACCTTGGGAATGGTCCCAATGGACCTTGGGACCATGACCTGAGCTGAAATCAAGAATCTGACGCTCAACTGAGGCACCCGGGCGGCCCTAGAAATTTTCAGTTGCTTAGAGCAGCTTTCCGCCCCCGCCGTGGCACATTCAGGGAGGGCTGGACTTGGCGCACAGTCCGCTCTGAACAGCCGCTTTTTGTCCACCTAGTGCGGTGTTCCGGGTTCCCGCTCTCCCTTACGGGAGCTCTTCCTTCAAGTGTACGTATTTCAGGAAGGAGCACATTCTAGAAGAGCAATATAGGGGAGCAGGGAGTTCCTCAGGGAGCAGAAGTATAAAATGAACTCTCCTCGGGTTTGGGGGTTTCGGGCCACCTTGGGCAGTGGCTGTTTTCATGCTGTAACGGCGGGAGGGGTGGGGCAGCTCACGCTGACTTTGCCCTTCCTCCCCAAGAACACGGGGAAGGTTTAGGGTGAGTCTTCCTGAGTGACAAAGATGGTCCCTGATTATTTTTTCCAGTTTGTGATTTTTGCAGCTTGTGATGAACCCGCAGTTAGTATTAGCCTTCCTCTGTCATCCTGTTTCTTTCCTCGGATGCCCCGTGGCGTGGGAACAGGCACGAGCAGAAACGGGCCGGTGGGGGGGACGCCTTTGGGGGTGGGGCGTCCTCAGAGCAGTCACGGTGGGGGCGGGGGCGGGAAGCGCGTGCCCCTGGCTCCTTCCCGACCATGACGCGGAGCGTCGGGGCAGTGACACCCTGAGACGGACCGGGTCTTAGGTAGGTGTGGAGGCTTCGGGCGTGGGGCCCCAGGGCCATCCGGATGCGCGTGCGGACTCATTTTCCGAACCAAACCTGGAGACATGCCTCCCGAGAGAATCGGTTCCAGATGAGATTTGGTCTTGGCTTAAAGAGGACTGTTTCTGGGAGGAGCTGATTTTCTCAGGTGCTTAGTCCCCGTGGGCCGTGTGTGCACAGCGCATACTGACGTCTCCCTGGGACCGCATGTCTTGCCCCCGTGTGCCTGAGCTCACTCTGCTGCTTCTGCTGTGGACGGGGTGACCTCGTGCTGCAGAAGGAAGGGGGGAAGTGATAGCCCGCCCCCCGGGTCCGTTTCTGTCTGGAGGGTTACAGGGAAAACACCTATTCTTACACAAGCCTGGAAGCGCGTAGCCTGGACTCGCAGCGGCGGCGGCACCTCCGTTTTAAGTGGCCCTGGAGCTGTCTGCCCTGCGCTCCGCCCCCGAGGAGTGTGCCCGCGGCCCCCGGCGGGGGAGGTGCCCGCCCCGCCCCACCCCTCCCTCAGAATCCCGAGACGCAGTGAGGCCTGACCCCCTGAAACCTTGTGATGGCGCCTTCTCCTTAGATGCTAGTGTCCGTGATTAAAAACATCCTGGAGGTTCTGGGGATTTGAGGGCTTCCTGGACACCGGGATGGATCTAGTCTGGTCGCTTCTGCTGGTTTCTGGACCATGGCTCGCTGGGCCCCCTTCCCCGGCTCGGTTCTGTGTCCTCAGCCACTGGTGGCCCTTCGTGTTGAAACCTCACGTGTAGCGCAGCCCCTGGACTTCTCTCGAAAATGTTGTTTTCTGCATCGCTTTCACTTTGTCTCTGTGTATCTTGGCCCCTGGCCCGCACGCCGGGCTGCTGTCCTCTGGGCTGTGTGTAGGTGGGCGTAGACCAGACCAAGTTCAGGACACGTTGTGAAGGTCGTACTTGGATTACTGTTTAATGTTTTTTTCCTTTTTTTTTTTTTTATCAGGCAAGAAAAAGTCCTATTTCCCACGTTGTTCCTGGGTAACTGAATTTGTTGGCTGTGCTCTTTCCTTCCTTGGCAATCATGGTGTGTGGCGGAAGCCATGGTAACAGTGGCCACACTAACTGCATGGGGTGACTCTGCTCTAACCCACTCGCAGCCCTGAGCGCGCTGTCCCCCGTCCATACTGGCCCAGCCATGCGCAGCCAGTGGTGGTGGTCCTGGGGCCCATGTGGCGCAGGGTCGGGGGCTGTGGGGGTGGCGCCGGAAGCCCGGGCGAGGGGGTCGATGTCCCCGTCAGGCTTGCCCGGGGACCACCGCTGGTCTGACCTCTTGGGACCGGGCTTCCCCCTGTTCTCCCAGTCTCTGGCGGTGGGGCGCCCCCCCCACGCTTGCTCTGCTACCCCCAAGTACGCCGGAGTGTTCTAGACAGACACGCGTGTACGATCTGCCCTCTCGGGTGCACCTTTCAGTTCGCAGAGCCGGCTGGAGCCGCAGTGAGCCTCCGTCCAGCCCGGAGCCTGTGGCCCCACACCAGCTCCCCCCTCCTCCCTCCTCCCGTCCTGGCCTTGCTGCCTGGATGGATTCGGTCACTGTGCTTTGTCTCTGTCCCGAGACATCTCGGGCCCCCGACTAGGCCTGTCTGCCTTCTCCCTTCTGTTGCCATTTTACAGCTGACCTTGGCGGCTGTCCTTAGCTAGATTCTGTGTGTTTCAGACTTTTGAACCAGACTTTGGTGGTAAGACTGTGACGTTTCATAGCTCCTGGAACCTTTTTCTGTGTAGGTGATTCCTAGTGTCCCCACCTGGGTCTCCATCCCTGACCATTCCCACTCCACTGGGACCTGAAACCAGATGTGGGGCAGGGGCCGTTCCCCCACTGCACAGCTCTGCTGTTCCCCAAGGGACCCCAGCAGACAGCCGCTGCCTCCCTCCCTCTCCCCTCCCCCTCCCCCTCCTCCCCCTCCTCCTCTCCTTCCCCCTCCTCCTCTCCTTCCTCTCCTCCTCCCCCTCCTCCCCACTCCTCCTCCTCCCCATGCCTCCTCTCCCTAGCCTCCTCTCCCTCCTCCCCTCCCCCTCCTCCCCTCCCCTCCCCCTCCTCACTCCTCCTCCCCCTCCTCTCTCCCTCCTCTTCCCTCCTCCGCCCTCCCCTCCCTCCTCCTCCTCTCCCTCCTTCCCACACCTTGAGTCAAGTGCCCAGAGAAGCCCTGGCAGATGGTGCATCTCTCTGTGGTGCATCCTGCCTTCAAATCAAGAATTCTCATTTCCGTCCTCGCCGAGGAATCGCCCTCCTACTTGGTTTTCCTCTTGGATTCTGGATCGCCCTGGGCTGCGTTGGGAGCATCGAGTTGTCACCGAGGGCTGTCAGGTGCCCTCTGACCAGGCGCAGACTGGGAAGGGTTGGCCTGGGCCCCCGGAGACAAGTTCATGGGGCAAGCCTAGGCTGGACCTGAGCTTGCTGTGGTCTCTTTAGTAATAGAACAGCAGGGATGAACTTGGTGTTCTGAGGTCCACGTAGCTTGGAAATGCAGGGACCTCAGCCCTAAACCTGCCTGTGGGGCCGTTCTCGGGGGCGTTTTGCATGTCCCTGGGGAACAGGCGCGGCTGCCGCTGGGCGCCCCGTGGGGCTTGCCCTGCCTGTGCTCTGGGACTGGGGGCTGATGGTCACATGTTTAAAGCAGAGGCCTGGTGAGAGGCTGCCTGGTCTAGGGGTAGGAAGTGGGCCCTGGGACTGGCGGGCCGAGTGACAGACAGGGCTTGTCACGTGGAGGCCGCAGTGGCAGGCGGGGTGCGGCCCTGTCCTGAGGAGAGGCAGGGAGAGGGGAGGCAGGGAGAGGGGAGGCAGGGAGAGGGTCGGCCCTGTGCTGCTGCCCTGTGCTGCTTCTCAGGCTGTGGGGCCTGGGGGGCAGGGCCGGCGGGGCGGGGCTGGGCGCTGGGTCCTGGCTGCAGGCTCTGGGGGCTGGGCACTCGGGCCTCTGCAGAGAAGCCTACTATCTGGTTTTGCTTGGGAAACAATTTAACAGTTATTTTCCTCCGTCTTATGAAGACACGCACCCTGTGGGAGATTGGGAAAACAATAAAAAAGTATAAAGTAGTGAACAAAATTTACCCACTACCCAGACGGAGGAAAAGGAACTATGGTTAAATTTTCTTTCCGTAACACATATGATTTTACATACGTATACGTGTAGCCCCCCTCCCCGCACATCCCAGATGTAGCTGCACAGAAGTAACGTCCGTCTGTGTAAGAGGTTACCCTTTAGAATCTAGAACGTATCCTACGTGCTTCTTCCCCTTCCCGTCATTGAGCACACAGGTTGGTCACCTGCTGCTAATTCTCCGTAGTGTCGGTGACACTATTGCCCCTGCTATTAAAGAAGCCCATGGAACGGGTTTTTAACGGCCATATGGTATTCATTGTTTAGCTGCACCATCATTTACTTAGCTCCTTCCCTGTGGGCAGCCATGTAGCCAGCGCCGCGGGGAGGGGGCCAGGGCTGGGGCTGGCGGGCCGGGTAGCTGAGGAGGGAGCACGGGCTGCTCTGGGCTCCCGGGCCGCCGCCCCTGCTCTCGGCCGGGGAGAGGGGCGCTCGTAGAGGGCACCTGTGCTTCCTGTCATGCGTCAAGTGATTTTAAATGACAGTCTCTCTCTCTCTCTCCCCCCTCCCCTCCCTTCTCTTCTCCCCCCTCCCCTCTCTGTTCTCGTCACCCCTACAGGGCAGTAAACGGCTTTGACCCAGCGCCGCCTCCTGGTCTGGGCTCCTCGCGCCCGTCGTCGGCACCGGGTATGCTGCCTCTCAGTGTGTGAGTGCCCGGCGGCCGGGTGGGGGCTCCTGCCCTCCCCCAACAGCCCAGGACACCCGCGCCTCGTCCCTCGGCGCCTGGGCCCGGCCCGGCCCCCGCGTCAGCCCCCCCACCCCCCCCGCGGCTGGCAGAGAGCGGGCCGCACGCGGTGGCCGCCGCGGGGACCTGTGCGGCCCCAGGACTCTGCGCCATGTCAATACTGGCTGTTTTCTCTTCTCGCCGCGGTGCCGTTGGTCTCACATGATTGCACTTTTGTGGGTCACAAGGTGGCACGTCCGTGTCCTCCTTGCTCGCTGGATGCAGAGGTACCCATCGTCGTCACGCCTGCCCCGTAGCTCCCACCCAGCTGTACGGATAGGGTTTAGTTGTGTTTAAGACCTCGCAGACCTTCTAGAGGTTCTCCCGCAGATCAGGCCCACACGTGCCCCCCGCCCCACCCCCGCTGCTTCTGTGCTCACGATCATGTGTCCTCTAGCTCCACGCCCCGCCGCGTGGCCTGCTGCTGGCCGAGAGCCAGGAAGGTCCCTGAGTTCAGGAACATTCTCTGCACCTTCTGATCTTACTTTAGCGGTTATCCTTCCATAGACGGCCTCCCAGAGCGCGGAGCGCCCGGCGCCCCCGTCTCCCCTCACCCGTGCGCCCCAGACTCGGGGCGAGGGGCGGGGCGGCCGGCTTGCTGCTCCTTCGGTTAAGTGACATCTTCCAGAGCGTTTTGTTTCGTCCTCGGAGGGCCCGTCCGGTTGTGCTGGGGAGCGTCGGGCGGCCCGGCTCGGGGGGGGGCTGGCCGACCGTAAGCGGCTGCCCCTGCTCATCCTGTGATTGCTCTCATGCTGCATCTACTGTTTACATTTGTTTTATTGTACATAGGTTTGTAAACATTATCGCCTAAGATATTTGTATATAACTTGGGCTTTGTAGCGTTTATTTATTCTGAGTTCATACGGCATGTTAATGCGGTGGTGTCCTCCTCTGGGCAGCTGTATAGGATCATCATGTGGTTACAAGAAAACACTTTCCCCCCCAAAATCTTTTAATGTGGAAACAATAAATTTCACAGAAAAAAATCCCCCAAAATGGATCGAGGTTGCTTTATTGGGTTTCTGGCAGCCCGGGAGAGCAGCCCGGAGGTGCAGGGCCGGGTTCGGATATGTCCCTTGGGCTCTGACGTGGGATGTGCAGGCAGGTGGCAGCTGGGGGAGGGAGTGGGGGGGGGGCAAGGAAAAGCCTGGCGGCCTCCCGAGGAGGTGTCTAACGCGGCCGTTCTCAGGCTGGTTCTTGGTGCCGGTCTCTGCTCGTCGCTGTGATTCCAGGACGGCCTGGGCGGCGCGTGGCGTGGGAGGGGGGCCGGGCCGGTGGGTCCAGGAGCCGGCCCTCCGGACGTGCTGCTTTCAGGACATGTGTCCGGGTTCTAGGGCTGGATGTCCCTCGGCTCTGGGCGTCTCTCCTCAGGCGGACGTTGGCAAGTGAGAGGGTGCCGGGGGCTTGGGCGCAGAGACACACGGTGACCAGACTCGAGGGGCGGGGAGACTGTACGACCGGGTCACGTCTGAGCCCTGGCGCTGCTCATGAGGAGGGTGGTTCGCAGTCATAAAAGCTAAGTGGACGGAAAGCGAGTCCAACTTGTCAGCGAGTAAGGAACGTAAGTGTGATACGTTTGCAGAAACATCTGCTCGGACGTGGCAGGCGCGTCCTGCTGGTGGGACCTGAGGGCATGTCGTCAGCGGACTCACAGGACTCACGGGCACCCTCGGGTGCTGGGCGCGCCAGGCCTGGGTGCAAAGAGACCCCGTCTCCACTGCCACCCGCCCCTGCGAGGACTGGATTCGATCAGAGGTTTAAGAACCTAGCAGATCTCTGTTCGTACAGGAGCCTGACGGCAAACAGAAGTAGAGCTAATGCAGTTACGGCAGGGGTGAGGCCCTGAGCCCCGAGTCCTGGCCCCAGGCTCCCCGATGATCTGTCGGGTCCCCTGGGATCTTCCCCCGCAGGTCAGTGATGGCTGTGGGGGGCAGGGGGTGCCGGCTGTAGGAGCCCCCGGGTCTGTCATTCACCAGATGTCGCCTCCGCTTTGGGTCCAGGAGGGCACGGGCCGGGTCCGTGAAGGGCAGCCGTAAGCTGCGGGCCTCAGGACACCCTCCTGCATCTTGGGGTGTGTTTGTAGCTGCCGCGGCCCCTGGCATAGGAGCCCCGAGGACGCCTGCTGGCTTCCTGGTCTCATCCTCCGCCTTCCGTTTGGATCATTTGGTTCAAGAGGCTACTTTGTACTTGCTCACATAGCGCGTGGGGTCACCAGGCGGGAAAGTCACCGCGGACTTGATTCTTGAGAGAGAGTGAGTGGGGGAGGGGCAGAGAGAGAGGGAGACACAGCATCCGAAGCTGTCAGCTTGGAGCCTGCCGTGGGGCTTGAAGCCACGAGCTAGGAGAATCAGGCGAGGTCGAGGCGCTTAACCGACCGGGCCTCCCAGGCGCCCCCACGCGAAGCAGCTCAGTGTGCCTCCTGCCTGACGAAGTCCGTCTGAAACCTCTGAAAACGCTGGAGTCCAGTGAGGAAGGAGCCCTGGTGGGCAGCCGAGCCCCCCCGGAAGGGCTCCTCCTGCAGCCCCGGATCGCCCCCTTCGCCACGAGCAGCCGGGTCTCCAGCCGCCCCTTCCTCCCCCACGTGGCCGCACGCCGGGGCGTGTGCGGCAGGACCGCCCCGGGGGCCACCCCGGGGGCCAGTCTGTCACCCGCTGGTGTCCGGGAAACCCTGGGCCTGGCTGGCCGCGCGTCAGGCCGGCGAGAACAGAAGACGAAGCCAGAGCCGTGTTCACAGGATTATACTCGTTTATTGAGGTCTGTTTATTCCCCGCGGGCGCTCTCTCCTCCGAGTAAACAGAGCAGGCGTAAGTATCTATAATGAATAAATTTATTGTCTTACAAAAATCATTGTCTAGAAATATGGGAATACAAGAAAAAAGATTCTTTGCAGTCAGGTGTCTGGTGGTCAACAGCCAGTACAATCCGTAAAGGGGGGGACCGAGGGCTCCAAACCCACACGGCGACTCCTTCCTAACAGATGTTAAAGCTTTTCACCCGAGAGGGTGGTGTTTTCAAGCACGTTGCAGAGGGTCAAGGATTTGTAATTAACACTGATTCACCGTCACTGAATGTTTACGCCACTGACTAGAGGTACATGATATGAAGCCCAGTCAAGCTCGTACAGTCGGTCGTTACAGAGGCGAGTAGTGGATCTAACGTGTTAGTGTCTAAGGCACTTCCTGTAATGTCAGTTTGCTTAGCTATCGACCAGAAACAGAATGCTAAGTGTTCACTGTAAGACTGTCCGGGGCGGGGCGGGGGGGGGGGGGGGGGGAGGAGGAGAAACGAAAAAGGATTCACGTCCACGGGCATGTCAACGTTCAGGCAGATGGCGTCGGGTCCCGAGGTTCGGTCAGGCCGCCTCGGCACGCTGGGAGCACGTCTGGGACACACAACTACAGTTTCCATTTTGGGCTCAAAGCTGCGGCTGAATTTGCAAAGGTCGGCATGCGAGCCTGGGGGGGGTTGCAGGGGGTGGGGGGCTGTCTGCTACCCTCTGCCCCGGGGCTGCACGAGCGCACGGCCAGGGCCCCGGGGGCTTTGCGTGGTGGCTGCCACCCGCGGTCTCAGGGCCACTGTCCTCTCTACGCACAGACCAGCCCTGGCCGGGGACCCTTCACTGGGATAGGTGTGGCGACTGCAGTCGGGTGCCGCTTCCCCCCAGGGCGGCCCACCCCGTCACCTTTCCAAGCCCCCTTCACAGTTTGCGCACTGAAATCACGTCGATGGTTACTCGGAGGAAATACAAGGAGAGTCGAGTGTTCCACAATGTTCTAAGAGACCGGATGTGGCGGAGGAGTCGGGGCCGCGTGAACACAGAACTACGTTACCTGCCTGTCGACAGAGAGCATGCAGAGCGGGGCCGGGGGGCCGCCCCGCTCGCCCAGCGACTGGCGACAAGGATCTGAAATTTGTCTGGAAAACGGCTTCTCTTCTTACCACGGACTATAAAGTGGCCTCCTGGTGGCTATGCGGGCAGTAGATGCAGTGAGGCGACAGTCTGCTTATGAGGTGGCGGTTCCGGGTACGTAGAAAAAGGGGAGCAGCTGTACTTAAATCTGAAGCGGATACAGTACGTGGAGGCGGGAAAGCCTTAATTAAGACACCGTTGATCTTTCAGGAAGGAAGCCCCGGGCTTGCCGGTCTCCTCGACGTGTGGGAGGCTGCGTCCCGCGTGTCCCCTGCCGCCTCGCCGGCCTCCTGGGGCCCTACTCGGACTGGGGCGGCTGCGCCTCATTCACGTCGCTGGTCTTACTCTCCGTGTCGTCGTCCGACAGCTCCAGCGAGGCCCCTTCGATGTGCAGCTGACGGCGGCCCGACCGGCTGGAGGAGAAGCTGATGGGGCCGCCCCGCCTGGGGAGGACAGAGCAGACACGGCTGTCCCCCCGGCCGGCCCTCCGGGGCCGCAGCTCAGGGTGGGCGGGCAGGGTCAGGGAGGGCTCTGTGCCCGCCTCCCCTGCACCCCTGCCCGTGCCCCCCTCCCCCCGGCCCGCCAGTGCGGTGTGCCCCCAGCAGGAGGTCTCTGGGGGCCGGGCGGCCTGGTCCTGCGGTCCTGACGGGCACGGGTCCTGACGGGCACGGGACGTTGCATGGCCGGGGGAGGGGCCCAGCGGCAAGGCCTCGGGGCACGTTCTCGGATTGGCTTTTGTACGGCCCCCCGCGTGTGCACGCGTCCTTAGCCCGCCGCGCGGGGGAGAGGTGGGGGGAGGGGGAGGGGGACGGCGCCAGGGCCCGCGAGGAGCTCCTCCGCGGACCTGTGCCGCGGGCGTCGGGATCGCGCCGGGGACTTGCGCGTCCACGGGCGGGGGCGCCGCCCCGCCAGGCCCCGCCCGCGCGCCTAAGGGGGCCTGGGGACCCAGCGCTGAGCCGGGCGTGCCGCGGACTCACCTCAGCCGGTTCTTCAGCGTGCTGACCTCGCGGCTCAGGCCCTCGTTGGCCTCGGTGGCGTCGTCCAGCTCCCGCTGCAGTTTGCGCCGGGACGCGTTGGCGCGCGTCGCTTCCTCCTCCGCCTCCTCCAGCTGCCGCTTCAGCTGCTTCATCCGGGCGTTGGCCTTCTCCATCTGGGGGGGGGGGGGGGGGGGGGGGGGGGCGTGACCCCGCGGCCGAGCCTCCGGCGCAGCCCACGCGCGCCGCCAGTGCCCACCGAGGAGAGCATGTGCTGGGGAGACCTGTCCCCTCGAGTTTTCCGTAGAAGCGACACAGCCTCGGGGGTCACGAGCGCCCGTGGGAGCGCGGCAGGGAATCCCCGCAGCGGCCCCAGCTACGTTTGGGTTCAGGAACCGCGGGCTGCAGCCGCACCAGTGCCTCGCGGGTCCGGCGCCCCCCCCCCCGCCCCCGCCGCGCGGCCCCGAAGGTGGGGCGGGAGGGAGGGTGCGAGCGGAGCGCAGCCTCCCTGCCCGTGTCCGCGGTGCCGAGTCTCCTCACGGCAGAGCCGGGCGGGGCGCCGCACAGCCAGGCCCGTGAGCACCTCCCCTTGATGCCGGGACCGAGGGGCCTGCCTTTGGGGGGGGCGGCGCCCAGCACGTGTCTGTGACGTCCTGAACCTCGCCAGTGGGGGGGGTAACACCTGGGGCGTCGCTCCAGCCGCTCCCCCCCCTCACCTGTTCTTTATACTGATCCGCGTGTCGGCGCTCGTCCTCCACCTGCATGAAGATCTCCTTGAGCTTCTTCTCCGTGCGACGGACCAGCTTGTTGGCGGCCGCCCGCTCCCTGTCCGGGGGACCGACGCTTAGTGCGCCGCTCCGGAAACGGTAGCAGCGGGGCAGGACCCGCGCGGCACTGGTCCCGGGAGCGCTCTGGCCAGGATGGGGCCCCGGCGACGCGCCCGGGCACCTTCCCCTCCGGCCCGAGTCCGGGGTCCCTGCCGTGGCCTCTGACGGCGCTAAGCAGAGCCCTGCGTCCCTTGTGCCTGGACACACAGCCGTCGGTCACCTTAGGGTCTCCTGCCGCCCAAAGCCCCGACACGTACAGTGAATCCAGACGGAGGACAAA